GTGGCCCTGCTAGTGGGGATTATACATTGGCCGTGACCTATAGAGGAGACGTCTATTTCGTGCCCTATAGAGGAGACGTCTATTTCGTGCCCGTACTGTATCTGTTTTCGTGATTGTGCTTGTTGGCATGCTTTAAGTTTGATAAGGGGCACTCCATATTTACTTACTGAGTTTATCTCATAGTTTTTCCTTGTCCACCATTTCAGGAAGTGAAACCGAGGACGGGAAACCACAGGAAGTGACGAGTTAGAAGGCTAGCCATATTGTAATTGGATATGAATTTTAGAAACAATTCATGATCTTGTATTTGGAGATTTTATGATATTAGAGCAGATTTTAAAAGTTGATCTTCAAATTTTGGTGGTATCAGAGTACAGTATGATAAGTTCCGAGCCTTGTGCATTTGTGGGACCCTCTCACGAGTGCACGGCGTCTGTCGCGTCTCAAAATTGGGTTTTGGGGCGTGACAGATTTAGTGGTATCAGAGCTTAGGTTGAAATTAAGAGCTTGGTTTAAATTAAGAGTTTTGGATTAAATTAAGCACCTTCAGATTGAGTGGCATCAGAGCAGATTGAGTGATATCCGAGCCTAGGTTTAATTGAATACCTAGGATTTGTTTTGAACTTGGCTAGCCAGTGGATTTTAGAACCGTGGTGAGACGAGTGATGGGGTTATATAAGGCACGATTCTGATTTGTGTTGCCTGAATTTTCTAATCCATTTTGATGACATGGTAATCTGATTGTTGTTGTTTCTTGCCTTCATACTCTGTGTGAAGTTGTGAAAGTAATCTTGCCCGTTATGTTCTGAAGACCTTGTTTTGAAACTTGGTCATTTTCTGATAGTCTGCACTTGTTTAGACTTGTTATTTGAATGGAATTTTTGTATGCTCTTTTGCCACAATTATGAAATCTGGGGAGTTGCAAAGATCTTTTGTTATTAACTCTGTTTGTCTCTACAGCATAGCTGGTTGAGAAATTTGCTCTGTTTGTCATATGACCAGTGGAAGATGGGCAACCCTCTACTTTGTAAGAGATTTAATGCTATTTTAGCAAATGTCGTGTGTTTTCTTGATGCGTTTTAGGAGCTGGATAACTTGGTAATTCCATTGCTCCTTATCTTCTGAAAGTCTTATAGTGAAGTTTCACTTTTTCCATTTGAAGCTTCATGGTCTTTTCATGTGGCTCATTTTTCTGTATTGGTTAATCAAGAGCAGTGATCATTCAATTGAAATTACCTTGTTTTGTGAAGATTGGCAAGCTGTCATAAAGTTAAACTCTATATTGTTACCAATCTCTACATTCTTGATGTCTGTTGAAACTGCTTGAAACTCCTAAAATCCGTCTTGAATCTTTCTTGATATTGCTTTGTACTTGTTCTTGAAACTGAAATCCAGAAATGGATAATGATTATTGAAATCCTCATTATCTTGATACTTGTCTAAAATTGATTCTTGCATTGTTCTTGAAATCTAGTTTGAGTTGTCCTTGAAAACGTTCTTGTTTTGACATTGGCTCTTGTTCAAATTCTGTATACTGCTCTTGTTCAAATTCTATATACTGCTCTTGCTCAATTCCGCATATTCTGCTAGTTCTTGTTTCAGTATACCTGTTGATCTTCTTGATTTCTGATATTTGTTCATATGGACACCTCTTTAGAAGGGGTGACGATTATCAGAAGATACCTATATGAGGTATTCTAAATTCTTGTCTCTTGCAAGTGTTAAATTCTGTATTCTTGATGCCTTAGCTTTGACTTGACTCTAGGATGACTTGACTGTAAATCTGCTTAGCCTTGCCTCCATGAGCTACGAGGTGAAGGGGTATTCTTTGAAGTACCTATTGCCCTAGAGTTTTGTTGCAAGAGAAATGATTCTTTTATTTGGCTGCTTGGATTTTTGTTTGCCCTTTTTATTAGAAGATAATAATCTTCTAAGCATCTTGATCCCAGTCATTGCTTTGTTCTGTTAATTAATTCTAGTACTTGATGTGCTAGATCTTGACATCCTAGTTATATCTGCTCTTGAATCTGTGTTCTGTTTGTCATTATTGAAATCTCTTTTGTGGGCTTAATCCTTGAATTCTATTGTTTGTTTCATGGTTAACTCTTGTCTCTCAATTTTGATTGCTTGGTTAAATTTGATCTTGATTCTTGGTGAATGCCGTTTTGTTGTTGAATTTTTGAGGCATTTTACCTTGCACTCTTATGTTTCAGTATTCTTCCAAGCATTCATATTTTCTATTGATTTTATTATGTTGCAATTCTTGAGAGTCTTCCATGTCTTTTGATGGTCTTAGCTTTTAGCTCTTGTTAATTGCTAAAATCTGTCTCTTGATTTCAGTTGCCTTGTTAAATATGATCTTGGTTCTGGTTAACCTTGTTTTGTGGCAGAATTTACAAGGCATCCATGCACTTGTTCATTCATTCATGATTCATATATTTATTGGATGCTTATTCGTCTTTGAAAGAGTTCAAAGTTTTGTTGTACTCGTCTTTAAATCCATGCCATTCTTTGCCAACTCGTCTTGTGTTGGGTTCAAAGCGTAACCCCACAACTGTTTCTTTTGTGGCCTTGGCAGGATTTATTTCTATTCCTTGTGCTTTCCGTATTACCCCAGCCTCCAGTAGCTTATTTGATGGCAAATCTTGTTAAGTGATTAGTGTTTTGTTTTTAAGATTAGTTGTGATTTGATATCAGAGTGGCGCAGCGGAAGCATAGTAAGCCATGTCTGTTCATAGAAAGTTAGTGGGGCATTTGCCTGGATTGTGTGAAGCCATTCACCACTTGATATGGTCCTCAATTTGAGTTTTGGGGACAAAACTCCTTTTTAGGAGGGGTGAGTGTAATATCCCAAATTTTCAGGAATTTTAGTATTAAGTTAAGGACTTGATTGTGAGAAAAGATTGTTTTGGGTCCTAATGTGAATACTCTGAAAGTTGAGGGACTTAAAAAGAGGGAAAATAATTGGATAAGGATGACTTCTTTTCTTTTTCTTTTTCCTTCCTTCTTTCTTCCCCAGCCATTTCCCGATT